CGAGCGTAAATACGGGATTTGTAAAAGGAGAAGCCCGACGCCTCCTAAGAACGAATTTATCGCGCTCCACGTTTAGTAAAAACGTACAGAGTTTCAAACTACCCTTCGAGAATGGAGGAAACCTATATGAGGATTTTGAGAAACGTATCTCTGGAGTTATTACTTTAGGATAGAAGTATACTCTGAAACAAAGAAAATAGCGCAATATTGCCTTTTGTAACACAATCTCATCCGGCTTTGCCAAATCTTAAGAACATACAGATGGGGAATTATGACAACTCAAAACTGACCCTTATTATCACATTGCAAAGGAAAGTCATCAAGAGATATCCTAATAGGAGATAAACTTTGAGGGTAGAAGATTTAAAAGCGCTAGCGAATGGTAGGAGACGCACAGGCCTATCAACACCTTTCAACGGTCGACTGCCTTTTTCTTTCGGCTTTCCGGCGTGTCGCCTCACGCAAGGTAGAGGTTTTCATTGATCAAGTGACTCTTTTCATTGCTGGGATTAAACTGTCCTTCATTCAATGATCAAGATGAAAGATTTACCACACAACACTCGCGATTAGTTAATTTTCCTTCACTTCAACTCTCCCCATTTCTACCGCTTTTACCGCCTTATTGAAAATAAGGCTACCACAATGCAATGCAATCGGAGTGCGCACATCGCCTGGTGTAGACCCAAAAACCAAGAGTTATAAACCCAACATGCATTAACGTAGATAATTATGGCCAAACTGAAGTGGCGCGACACTATAGTATAACCTCTTTCAGTTTGAAGGAAGTTCTCTGCCGCAAGGAAGAAGGTCAATGGAAAGCAGGTCGTAACCAATATGGCTGGTAGTGATGGCCGCCATGTTGGTGTCAGGGCGCATGAGCTTGTTTCTATGGTAATGATTGACTACGTTCGCGGGGTTTTTTAATCAGGTTTTGAATGACATAAGCCCAAATATAAACTATCATTTTACGCCTTTACCAGAATTGTTATCCGGCTAAAACGAGACACTGAAGTTCTAAAACAACCGCTTTGCTGGACCGGGATTAAACCAAATATTTTCCAGGATCTTCATCGCCCCAATCTCCAGATTCAAATCACACAGAACTATGGATTTTCACCATACGGGAGTTTGCGCGATGGAAGACATTCAGAAGAGAAAAAAAAAAAACACAGGCTTGCGCACAGATGCGCAAGAAGGGTGGGGTACGTGGCAGCGTTACAGTAGCGTCAAGTTTCGTTTAGACACTCTCAGTAATAGCTCTTATTAGAAGACCAGGGGCCCGTTTCTCGAAAGTCCTGGTCACTTAACGGACCCACAAAACTGTTCTGTTTTCATTCAAGATGGGGATTTCAACAGTTTTGAAAATAATAAAACTGTCACCTTAAGAAATAAAATGGACTAATTTGTGTGCTAGAACCTGCTTTTCTATCCTTTAAATTTTGATTTGAAAACTTGGCTTCGGGCCCGTTAAGTTACCGGGACTTTCGAGAAACGGACCCCTGCTCTGTAATAATTCTCTCGAGAACATCTGGCAGTGGCGGAAAGGCCGAGGTATGGCTGGATGACGAGAAGAACAAAAGGATTTATATCGACTCAAAGTCGATCTATGGACAGAATCGACTGAATACTGTTGCCACGAGGGTAGAGTCGGGATACCATACCATTACGGTTAGAACAGTTCGCACAGGGAGTTTCCTAGTGAGTGGAGTTCTAATCGGGCCGCCAGACTTTGAAAGACGAGAAGTTTTATAAACACCTTTGGACTATGCATAAAATGGCATTTGCTTAATTCTTATACAGTCCAATGAATAGCCATTGTGTTGGATGACGTTTGTTTTTCATTGCGTTTACTCATCGTGATCTGAATTAATAAGTCATACCTACGTCGAAAAAAAAACTACGTGGATGTAAACAAGTTTGAAGACCGAAAATCCGAATTGTTAAATATAGCATCACATTCAACTTTTGCTTTAGCTTGTAGGGTCAGTTACCTGGATAAATTGACTCGAACTAAGCGGACAAAAGATTTCACGAAAGAATTTGTTGAGCGACTATAACAAAGGACATTAAAATTGGTAAGTTATGTTTTTATTTCCTGTCAATGATTAGTTTGAAATTTGATTTGTAGTTATGATATGATAGTCTTTCGACTAAATGTTTTTAACGAAGTTAATTCCAATATCTAAAGGCTTCTAGTCAGAAGAATTTATGACGTCGTCACCTTTCAGAATCCATCCATCTATTCGTAGTTACATTCAGTTTATGACCCATGAGATATGTGTGCGAACTAAAGGCATAAAATTGGCATACAGTTGGCCGTATCTAATGGTATTTTTTTTCTGCAGACTATGCTAGAAATTATGGCTTCGCAAATGAGTATTTCCACCATCAATACGCTTGACTACAAAGAATTTATTCGAAGGTTTGGAAATGTTGTAGAGGGCACCTCACTTTGTGCAGCAGCTTTGTTCTCCAAGAGACCATTTGCATCATTCGACCAATTCGTCAGGGCGATGTGGCAGCTTTTTGACGACCTTCCAGACTATTGCAAAGAGGGCATTCTGAGAAACCACCGTGACTTGGCCAGCCGCTGGGAAGATTTATCAGCTGAGTCCAAAAGAGAGCAGACAGAGGCTGGAATAAGCATCAAATCCCTTAGTACCAAAGAAAGTCAGGAGATGGAATATTTGAACGAGATGTATAAGAAGAAGTTTGAGTTTCCTTTCGTAATTTGCTCTCGTCTGAACAACAAGGAAGGTATCTCGAAGCAGATTCGCATGCGTTTGAGCAATGATAAGAATGTAGAGCTCAAACACGGGATCGAAGAAGTGAAAAAGATATAGTGCTGCTCAGAATGAAAGATTTGGTGGCGTATGGAAACTCTAAAATCTAAGGGCCGATTATTGAAACAAAGTTTAGCCGTTGTTTGATCATGAACAAAACCGCGTTTTAAACTATCTTCAATTTAGTCGAACCTTTTACCTGAACATTTATTCTCGTGAACAGTGTCAAGAGGCCTTGTAGATATAGTTTATCGTATGAGTCGTACGGCTGCGCTCATGCAATCCTAGAATGGGCCCGAATGGTTGACGTAAGCGGGTCCTGAAATTGAAGGCCACCGGATCCGCACTCGCACGGCTCCGTTGCATTTTCCAAAAAGAAGAAATCTAACAGCGGTAGTAAACTAACTTGTCATGAAAATAAAAGAGTATTTTTTTTTTTACGAAGAATTTCTTTGTCTGGCAACATGACCCATCATGATTTAACTTCAAGCATCGCTTGAAACATGAAAGACTTAGTCACGTTCTTCATTAAGTTGTGAGTTTCTTGTTCTGACTTGTTCAAATGACCGGAAGGAAGGAAAAGTTTTTCATGATTGTAGTTGTCCGTTGAGCACCTTCCTTTTGAATACGATCGTGTCCTAGTAAGTTTTGAAAATGAATTCAAATTTTTTAAATACTTCAACAGATAATATAGTGTTCAGATGATTATAAAAAGGCTAACCCACTGAGTTAAGTGGGGCAGAAAGGTGAAAGATTCGGCTCTTAGTCATGTTGCACGGACCTCGCTGCGTTCGAACAAAGTACTTGATTAGCTTGAGCCAAACAATATCCCGTTTGGCTCTCTCAGTAAGTCTACAATAGGATAACTTATTTGTAACGGCTCTTTGTGGTGGCACATTTAAGGTAAACGGACGGAGGAGACCAGAGCTTTTTGGTTAGAAATTGGTATCACTATGAATCAATTCCAGTCTGGTAACCTTGCCTCTTTCAAGCAAGATAGTCTGTGGTCATGGTTTGTTTGCGGGCTCACAACTGTTTGCATGATTCTGACAGTTGGATTTAGTAATGCTCTAGGTGTACTATTTCCCGTTTTCATGAATTATTTCGAGGAAAATCGCGAAAGTACAGGTCAGTTTATCTAATACTGGAGAAGTGTAACAATAAGCTTGAGGGCTTTATGCGTTTTTTGGTTCTGCTCTGGTGTACCAGTTCACAAGGGAATTACCATTGTTCTTTCTTTGTTTAGGAGTTATCGGTTAGCTATTGTGTATTGTTTGGTCTTTTGTATTGGCTCTTGTGAACCGGTACACGAGGACAGAACCCGTTTTTTGCATTGTTTAAGCTCGAACGCACTTGCAAGTATTGAATAACAATTGTTTTTAGATTCAAGACAAAAGCAAAAATCTGGACCGGACTGTTAAAAAAAGAATTGCGAAACAATCTGTCGTAGGAATCACAATCTATGATCTTGTAGAACAAAATGCTCACTAACTTCATTATTTAGTCCGCTGGGTGAATATTTAACACTAATATCCGTTGGAGTGAGTTATCTAGACTTTCTCAAAGTCGTTCGCTTGGTTTTCTGTTCTGGTGTGGTACGCGCTCAAAAGCGCGACTTGTGAGCAATTCTATGAGTTATCCAACAAGTGAACAAGCGTAGCTTCAAGCACATCTGTACATAAGCGCATTGTTGACTGGGAGTAGCAATAATGGCTCCTAATTGCCTCATGTGAAAAAATCAATAAAGAAAGGCAGGATATTGGGCTCTGAAAGCATAAGGCACTTGGCTGCTGATTATACTGGACTGTTCGCTTAATTTTGCAAATAGAAGTCTCACAGCCAAACCTGTGCAATGACAGTAGAACCTGAATTTTAATAGATAACTGTCCAAAGACATTTTTCGCTTTCTCTCAAAGTAATAGCGCCATCAGACTCAGTGCGTCTCGCGCTCTAGAAGAAGTCTCATATGAAAATTAAAGATTAACCGCCGAAAATTAACCGCCTCCCGGTTAGCTCAATTGGTTAAAGCGCCCGGATTGTGTTGTGCGGGAGGTCGAGGGTTCGAGCCCCGGCCGTACCAATACTCATGGTCTTAAAATAAGTGAGGAGAATTTGCTACCTTTCTATAATCAAGAAATGGATAGATATTCTAGTCTTCTCGGATAAGGACGAATAAACCGTAGGCCCCATCTCCTGCAGGGTTAGGGGTAGGAGACGTTAATTCCCACGCACGAGATTACTGTGTGAAGGAAATGAGAGCTTGCATAAAAAGGTGAAACAAAGTAAATACATCGCCTGACGTTACTTCTAGGCAGAGGTATCTTTAAAGGTGGGTTTCGTGAATTTTACCTCGCAGACGCGAAACATGGGGCTATCATATATATTACATATGTATCACCGGGCAGATATTCCCGGAATTATAAAATCATGATTCTGATCACTCAGAATTCACATGTTTCTCAAAAATTAACCGTGCGTTTTGGCATGTAGGCTATAATAGAGAAAAAACTTAAGCGTCAGTTGTAGCACGTTTGGCGTAGAGCAGAGTTTTTATGATCAGAAAGTCTAGAGCGCTGTTAGGCCTTTTTCGTTGCCAGGGGGTCATATGCATCTATAGGCATATAAAAACGCACAAAACCACAATTCTTCCATTTGCCCAAACCAAGTGAACGCAACTTTTCTTTGCAAAAACATGAAACTACTTTTTGATAATTTACATATGTATTATTTGTACCACTGAAAAATAGTTATGTAGGTCATGTTAAACTCACAGGACCAGTCGTTATTCATCTCCGGAGGCCGGAGGGGTGGGGGGTTGGGAGGATATTAGGAGGACGACATGGTTTTCAGGAGCAGCGAAGGGGAAAGCATTAGTAGCCATCAGAGTCTAAAGGGGGACTATAAAAAACTGACTGCCTTTTAACTGCGAATGAAAGGAGATTACGAAGCCCTATTGGGGATCAGGTAAATTTGATTGTGACACACCTAAAATACTCCGCATCCCCTCCCCCCCCCACCCTGCGACAAATAATGACCGATCCCTAAATTCACCTATTTTCAGTATATATATGAAACAAGCTAGTCTCGTGGCCAGACCCTGCTCGGCAAAACGACTGTATGGTCCAACGTATCAGTTACAGTTAAACGGTAAGATCTGGGTAGGAGATCAGAAACAAACAGAAGCATTACTAAATTAATTCTGACTAACAGTTAGGAATTTTTCTTTGCATCGATCCTGTGTTGCATCTAATATAGACAATCATTGCTTCCTACCTCTTTAGCCAGAGAAGGAAACTAAAGGAAAAACCTTGAACTTCAGTAACATGAATAACCGTCGAAGCCAGGAAAATTCACCAAGTCTTCTATTCTCTCTAATCGTAATAAGTATTTTCTGTTCCGACCTCCTTAATTAATAAAAGCTAGTCTATTGATGTACATTACGCCCAGCTTATGTATTGGGAGTGACTATCCGCTAAAGTTTCCATCCACGAAGTAATTGATTCGAAGGTTGGTCGCAGGGAGGGCTCTTGGTTCCAGCACTGGAACATCAATTCATACCTGCGGGAAGCAAGTAAACATGCTGTAATTTTCAACTTGTCCTAATAGATTTAAAAGTATTGCCTTTTTCTGCCTCAGTGATTGGTTTCTATGGGATAGAACCAAAACCTCAGTAATCAAAACCACTGAACACTCGGGTAAATTTGCAATTTAAGAATAGGAGCTTACCGCAAATTCAGACGTAACCAGACTTATGCAGGATAATGAAAACTGAGACGCAATTAATCGAGCAGGGACTCTCCGTAGTTTTTTTAGTTCTACCTCTGATCAGTTAATATTAGAGCCAGAATTTTTTTGAAGTAGTCTGAGAGCGTAGCAAAGCCAAATTCATGCAGCCATTGATTACGTTCGTGATTCGATTTTGAACTTGTCGGAAGTCATAATACACTAGTCTCTAAGCCTCAACAGACCCAGCCGCTTAGCAAGGACATATGGTATATCGATTAATATCGTTGGGCCAAAAATCCCATTATGATAAAATGTGCGGAAAGGAACCTCAAAAATACGAACTCAAAGTAAAATAAAAATTTAGCAAGTCCCTTGGTTGGTAAGACCTTTCAAAGCATTTTTTCTATGTAAGCAACGTACCAATTAAGGTAAATCTTTTAACAGTGGATTATTAGAGCAATTTTCGGTTAAGTATCGAAAGTTTAGCGAGATTGCCTTTATTTTGCCTTGGCTTGCTTTGTGATCGGTCCAGAAAACTCGAACCACTCTCTCAACCACTCAGAAGCAAAACCAAAACGAATCACAAATTGATCACCCACGTTTCCCGCGCTTTCAATTTAGGCAGTTTGCTCGGTATCTACCTTTCCTTTGATAGTCTACTATGGCTAATTTTGTTTTACTTTACGAAATTCAATCGTTCTAAAAAGCACAATTTAGCTGAGGCCAATTCATAAGTGTGAATTTAGATGGAACTTGATTCTACGTACAAGTCTGCGCTCACGCCTGACGACCTATGCAATCTGTGACCATGTGACACGTATGTAAAGACTTCTTGTCCGCTCATTCCATCGTAAGGGTTCCCCCCTGCAAAGATAACAAATATTTGACTCAGAAATAAGGTACAAGTTGGTATACTCAATAACAGATGCGATGTTCTTTTCAAATGTCTTCAACTGCTAGAAAGCTGAACAAAAGATGACTTGTAGAAAAGATAACACCGAATAATAATATATTTAATAATTTTCTTTTCTTTTCAGTATTGTGAGAGGTTTGAAACCAGGAGCAGGAGTCGATTGTGTAGCCTTCACGTCTGGGTGATAGTGGTCCTAAAAAGGAATGTCGTCAGTGACAATGGCTGAGGTCTTAACATCCTCGTAACACCATCAGAGTGACTTATGATGATCACAGTCACTTCCTCTCGCGTTGTAGTTTCCAGGACCTCACTGACCCGAATGATCTCAATCATTTTTCTGTTGACAGGTTTCAATGCTTCTTCTCATCTCACGGTTCGTAAGGTTGAAAAACGGAGACCTTTAAAATTAGAGTCTAAATTACCCAAGGTCTCCCAGAAATATAGAAAACGTTCACCTACCGAGTGTGAATATCTCGTGCAGGACGATGCCATAACTCCACCTAAAACAGTGAGAGAGAAAAAATATATTTAGCGTATATTTCCACTATCTGTCTCAGATTTCGCTACTCCGTCTTGGTTTGGGAATATAGTCTTTTGTAAAATACACTATCTGTGAATTTATCTCAATCGAGAAAATTTTCCTACTTTTTTTTACATTATCAGGTCACTGTTCAGGAGGCCGACGGGAAAGTTAATGGTTTTTTTTTTCACACTAACGAGAGATTAACTTCTTACAGGGAATTAAAACAAGGGCCGAGTGAATATTCATTAGCGGATATGAGTCACTTTTGATTCAAACTCGTCAATCTACTTACACATCACTTTCTGTGGTAAAAATTTGTTTTGTTAGTGATTCAACTGCCATCCACTTTACTGGTACAACTCCCTATGACACAACACAAAAAAATATCTTCACCGGTATATATAAAACGAGAATGAGTGTTTTGTAAGTTCAGTTGTCAAAAACGTTTTAAGTTCCTCAAGTCTTAGATACCAGGGTCAATGCGTTCGAGTGGGCACTCACCGTATCTCTTAGTGGGTACATGCTTACTTACATTCGACCTCCTGACATAAATTTTATCTTTGCCAAGATCTCTCGCCATCCCAAAGTCAGTGATTTTACAGCGTAGACCCTCACCAACCAACACGTTCCTCGCTGCTAAGTCTCGGTGAACGAACTAAGAGTGAGCAAGTGATTTGATAATTAGTGTTTTGACCTGTCTTTAGTCCTTTGTCAGTTGAAATTTCTCATTCACTGACACGGGGTTAAACGCTCACATTGAAAGATTTTGAATAGCACATGGAGAATTAACTTTCCTACTTTTACGCGTCAATTTTTACAAAGACTTATACTTCCTATTGTAAATCCTTAACATCCTGTTCTATTTCTTCGTGTTTGTCCATGTTTAGTTTCCCCTCAAGCTTTATTGGCATGGAAATTAAATGAATGTTGGTATGAAAGCAATAAGTGTGAAAATTGAAATATCACTTATGAACAAAGTGTTTAGTTAAGCTTGGTATATACTAAAACAGTAGATAGTGCTGAATGTGCGCTCTGATTGGCTACTCAAGCTCCAAATAACCTCCGCTATTCGCCTTATAGCAAATAACGCGGGGATCTGCTCCCGAAAATATCACTGTACTCGTTGCAGGATAAATGACTTAAAATCATCTTCAGTTTGTGCTATATTATCCCACTGTTTTAGTATATACAAAAACAACTTTCACCTGACTGTTAGTGGCTAACGGTAGATATTTACCTCGCCGCTTCACAGGTCGGTAAATATCCACAAGTAGTAATTAACAGGGACCTTAAGCAAACCACGACGGCGACGGTAACGAGGACATGAAAAAACAAACGATCTAATCGGCAGAACAATAGCTCAGCACGCGCATTTTAAAACTTAGTACATTTCTTGGCCGTCCTTTGCAAAACAACAACGTGAAATCGCCAAAAATTTGCGTCGTCTGCGAACCGAAACCGCGACGGCAAATTATTTTAATTTCCATTTGGTACTCGACGCTACTTTTATAGCGGGGCTAGCGCGCGTGGGGCAGAGCCCCATACCCATGGAATATGGTCAACCTCTTTTCGTTTGGTTGTCACGTGACTGACCGAGCGTACGTACGTACGTGCCTTCAGATTGCACGGGTAGGGTAGGGAAGACTATCAAAACGAAGGGAGGGGTGTCTCTGGCGAGTCTTGGCAAATGCACATCTTTTATGTTATCATTAATATTACGAACTTGGGAGCTCCGCTTTTAAGCTTTACTAAATCTATATTAGGTTATGTTGAGGTTGATTTGTGGCGCCGTATGAGATGGTAAACACATGCAGCCATTTTCGAAATTCTGATTAAAAGTAGAAATTCATTTTTTAATCGACGTCTTCCCTGGCGTTGCCGTCCTGACTGCTTAAGGTCCCTATTGTTAAATATATCACGCGCGATGAAGATGGAACAGATTGGTAATTGAAATGCCACACCTGATGAGCCGCTATGAACGCCATTCCCCGTGCAATATCACAAGCGAATTTGTAAAGTTGTACTGTTGGTATTTTCAACGAAGTTTCTGCGCATTTAACGTCGTAGTAGTCATCTGTTTCCCCTTTACTTTTCTTTAGATATCCCAGGAGATCACCATGAGGCACAAACTCCAGGATAACAAGAGGCGGCCCTAAATATGTAAAAAAAATGAAACATCTAAGCTTTAGTTATGCAATAGCGATCTGAAAAAGGCAATTCAACAAACAACTCAAATCTTTCGGGGTGCAAATTTTTCAGTTCTGGTAATAAAAAGACAGGCTTTCCTTTCCTGACTGTTCACTTGGCGCAAGTATAGAATAAAAAATAATCCAAACTCACTAAACTCTCGCCCTCCTTTACGTCGGACTACATCTTTTGTCAAGCAGCCCAACAGTTGTATCACGTTAGGATGAGGTTTAAGTCTCTTCAACATGTCCAGCTCTGACAGCAAATCCATTCGATCCGACTTCGATGAATTTTCTGCAATATAATGCCATGAATACGTTAGTTACGATGTTTCAAACATAACTTTGTTTATCCGTTCCTCCAAAACACTTGGTGTACATAAATTTCGTTTCCAAATATTTTGTCGTGAAGCTCTTATCAGCATATTTTTAAACACAAAGAGAGAGTTCATCTATTTGTGATTTTCAATAACTTAGTAACACGACATGAAATTATTTCCTTCTTTCTGAGGAAGCTCTCCTTGAGTTGAAAAGTGCAGAACATACCACTAATCCCTCACTCTTGAGGAGACGCACCAAACGTTTTCAGCTGCTTTGGTCTTTTCAAAATGATAACCCTTTTCTTTTTGGTAGACGTAGTGAAAACAGAAAAGGAATGATAATATGATGTTTCCTATTCCTAGGATAGTCATTCAGCGAAAACATTTGCTAATCTTAGATTTTCAGTAGTGCATATAGAGCTATGCTTTTGAGAGAATTATAGAATACATTAGCTAGAGTGTCTATGGCTTTTGAATTAACAGCTGTTGATAGCCAGTTTGGATTTGTGGGCATTGTATTATTTTAATTTACCTAATTATTCTAAGCAACATATGGCAATCTGCGGTCTTTCCTTACACTTAGGTAGGACGGAAAGCCGTAAAACTCTTGAACAAAAGCTCATCTTTCAAACCGGCAGTCTAAATCCCAAAGGGATCAACGAACGCTTTTCATTCCACTAATTTATTCGTGTTTTTCACATTGCCATGTTCCCACCAATAACGTAGCTCCATTTTCTGCCTTTAAAAGCACACACAACCCACAATTCTTCTATTCGCTCCGACGAAGGGCTAACGCTCGAAACGTCAGCTTTTGTAATCGTTACGATGGCCAATTTACCATTTCAACTTTGTTGATATATCAAAATTATTTCGTTACCTCCACCGACGCAGCCCCAAACAGTTTCTTTAGAAACTATCAGCCTTTATTCATTTGTATTATTATGTTGGTTGTAACACGTACCCTTCAGCATTTTAACAGCCACAATAGACCAGCCTACAGTACCACACACGTCCAATACAGCACCTTCCCACACTTGACCGAATGTTCCACCGCCGACCCTTTTAAAAAGTCTCAAACTTTCGCCAGCCACCTCCCAGTTGGCGGTGCTCTGCACCTTCACGTATGGTGACTCCTTCCTGGAAGCAGAAGGTAAAAATGATTGTGGACGTCTTGGGCTCTCATAGGGGATTGCTGCACATGTATCATTCTGATAACTGTGCTCTTCTTGAAGATCTCTTGCATGATGGGTGCAGAACTTTGATTGGTTGACACGTTGGACACCTGCACGTTGTTGAACTACCTGGCACAATCGCGAAGTTGACGTTATTCCTGCAAACGTGGACATTTTTCCTCTAGGCTTAGGCACAGGGCGACCTTGAGGCAAAGTTTGTATCTTTCCACCACAACATCTGAAGCTACCTCTGTTTTGAAACGCAGGTTGTAAGTGTAAGTGTTCCACCGGTTGCAGGTAATCTTCTGAATGCTTCAGACCTTGGGTTGTGTCAGTTGGAGGTTTGTTTCTGGTGAACGTGTCAAGACATTGGATTGTCGCTTCCTCTTGAACTTGGAGAGTCTTCTCATTTCCTGCATTTGGAACCGCAGCAACTTTGCATAAAGAAAAAGTGGTAAAAGACAAGACCTGCTGACCAGATGAGTATGCAGCAGTAGTGGAGCTCATTTCAGGTGTCTCTTCCGTTCCTTCGTTGGTGTTGGCCCCTATTACTGAGACTGGTTGTTCTGTCGTCAAAGAGGATTCTGAAAGTCTTGGTGAAGTCCCCTCTGTCGTCAATGGTTCTCTACCTACAGAATTGTCGGGAGCCTGCAAAAAAATCAATCGACAAATTGATGTTGTTTGATGTGAGATGCTTAAATCTTTGGAGGCTATGAGATTGAGTCAGAATTACGGTGGACCGGCATCCCCACCAGGGAGGGGGGGGGGAGTAATAATGATGCTAGTTGCTTCATACTAAGACTGACCGGGATAAACTCCGGATGGGTGGGGCACTGGGCTCGAGTACAGACTTATACAAGAATACACAGAGTTTTCTTTCCCTACCTGTTCAAAGGAAGGTTTCTCTCGTAACTTTAAAGATGGGGACATCCTGAAAATCTATATATATCAAACAAGGAAAATCGCTATTTTTTCTGTTTATTAACTCTTCAACAACGTAACTTTTGATTCATTTCGAGTACTTAGTCCGATGAATGAGAAAATAATATTGATTGATAAAGAATCTGATTTAACTACAGATTTTTTTTTATGTCTAGCTTGTCTACTTTTTTTTAGCGAATCTATAAAATTGAATGAAGCTGCATTAGAATATTTTTTATAATGACGATTATGTATGATGAAATTTCTTCAATTTCTCGTAGAAGATAGATTGACTGACACTGAAAATGTGCTGCGTAAGGACTACTCTGACACTCAATACGTACCCTTTGTTCCTTAAATTTTGGGACCCTATAGAGTTTTGAATACAAAAGTAGAGAAAATTTGTTATTTCGTTCCCTTTTGTTTCTATTTTTCGAAGCTTTGATTTATCTTTATCATCTTCACCATCATCGATAGTTAAGTTATATTCATTTGATTTAGAAAACATACATTACTTTAAAAAAATGTCGAAAATTGTGTTAGTTTATTTCACTCTCATTGTTCTGAGATTGATCTAAAAAAATCTGACAACCAATCAGATGCAAAAACTAAACCACCGTCGTTTCGAATGAACTTTGTCTTCCTGCTCATGAGGAAGTTTGCCTGTTTTTATTTTGAAGTCTCGTTGGCTTGATCTAATATAGGCCCAATATTATCCTTTTTTCCTCATTGGCTTCTGTGATTAAATGTACCAAAGTTTCTGTCTTACGACATTCAATTGAAGGGGCATGCTTTACTTACTTTGGCCAGTTTCTTTGTCTTTGCTAGTTTTTCTTCGTATCACCAAAATTGCAATTAATATTAAAAAAATGACACCCAGAGCCATTAAAATGATGATTTCCATTTTCCATGGGGACTCGTCCTTTTGTCTGCTGCTGAAGAATGGAGTCAGTGCAGCCTCAGGCTCTGTTAAAGGAAATTTGAAACATTTAACATTTGGGAAATTGATTTGTCCACGGTTTTGAGCCGTACTGGTCATTACTCATTACTTTGTGATTTGTTTTGTAACTCTCCCCTCCCCTCCTTTTTGTGCTCTTAGCCAAGCTAGACTCTTCAGTCTCGAAGTTCCTCTCTCCACTCACCCACAAAACAATCTAATTTCTGGGCTTTAAACTCATTCATGTTTATATGTTCTGTTGTCTGTGACAATAGCATGAAATGTTAACATACACATTTACGCCTATAGGCAAACTGAGTCCGATGGCAGCCAGCATGGACGTGCAAACTTTTATGTGACCTACTGACCGAAAATAAACTGACTGAGGAGAAACATTTAGAACAGAGATAGTTATTTTTTTTACCTATCTTCTGGTCTATTGGTTTAATATTTTCCTACCTGTAGAAAATGTTGCGAGAGATATGTCGCTTGGTGGTGCAGTTCTGACTTCAAAGTCGGTGGATATGTTGATCATTTTGGCTCTGTCTAACATACTCTCTCCACACCTGTTCCAAGCTGTCACCACGAACAAGTAAGATCTAGCATCCTTAAGTCTGATCTGCAATATGTTTCCTGTAACATTTTTCTGCAGCCATGATTCTTCGCCTTCACGTTTTTGCCTAACTGTATACTTCACCAGCACTTCATCACTTTTAACCGCTGACCATCGTAGTGTCCAGTGAGGACGTTTTACTATCTTGTGTGAGTTCAGTATGGTTGGACTTTCCGGAAGTACTGTTTCAAGCAGGTAAATTTATTTGTTTATGAGCAATTCATGAGAAATGAAATAAAGGGCTACGGTCAAAGGTTTATTCTTTAGCTCGTTCGGTGATCAATTAAATAACATGTAGGGATTGATGTTTGAGCTTTAAGCGGAAAGCAAAGGTGACATAACAAGAATGAATAATGGAAATTCTAATAATAATAATAACAATAATAATAATAATAATAATAATAATGATGTACATTTATATAGCGTAGACCTCTATGTGGATATATTCAGTCGCGCTTTACAATATGGTAAGGTAAAATTATGTTAAAAGTAACAGAAAATGTAAGAACTATAAAACCTACGAACCTATGCACTCGAAGGGAACAATTACCTAGTAAAAACTAGCCAATAATTATAATACAATAGATTCTTATTAAGCGCCTTTCTGAACCTAATGTTACAGTCAAACTAAGTGAAGCGTACCCCTCAGGATTACATTAATGATTTGATTATTTGAATATTGAACCCGCGAACCGTTTCAGGAGCGCACTAACGAATTGAATATTTGAACATGGAACCCGCTAGCCGTTTCAGGAATGCAATAATGGATTATTATTTGAATATTGAACCCGATAGCCGTATTCGTTTTCAAAAGGCGCGGATCACTGTTCAAATGAGAAGTCCATTTCTGATTGGATTATGCGAACACGTGATGCCGTATCGGAACCATTTCAACATGGTGTCAGACATGGCGGGAAAGGTGAGTTCGAGTGTTGTGTAGAACTTCTTGTAAATGTTGTAAATGGAATGTTATCGAGAGCTTTTTTCGCCTATTTACATCTTAACGAACTTGTAGAAATTCTTGTGTGTATGCATGGTCGAAAAAATTAGTTTACGGGCGAAGCCATCGCAAGACTTTTTTCATTTCGTCAATACTTGCGATGGACTGTTTTCGCAGTGTTTTTACAGTGCAGTTTGTTCATTTTCAGGATACCTCGTCAAATAGAACAATCTTATTGGACTTCAGAAATGGACTTCTTATTTGAACAATGATCCGCGCCTTTTCAAAACGGATACGGCGATCGGGTTCAATATTCAAATAATCAATCCACTATTGCATTCGTGAAACGGCTAGCGGGTTCAATAATCAAAGAATCAATTCATTATTGCATTCTTGAAACGACTGGCAGGTTCAATATCGAAATGATCAATTCATTAATGTAATTTTGAGAGGTACGCTTCACTCAGTTTGACTGTAAACCGAGTTAAACGTATTTGAAAGATAATTGAAAAAAATGAGTTTTGATAGCAGTCTTGAAAGTGTCCAATGTCTTTATGTTGCGAATTGTGGAGATAAGGTGCAGCTGACTGGAAGGCACGATCGCCAAGGGTTGGACGGGTCTTGTTGCTAGATAATTCGAGTAATAAAGACTCGTTTGACCTAAGAGACTCGTTTGACTTTCTATGCTATCTCCACGGAGTACCAACAAGATCGGTAAAGGGGGGCAAGTTTCTGAAGAAACGGTGATGCTGCGCTAGTTAACAAATGGTAAACACCACAGCGTACACTATCGAGTTATGGATGCACGCGGGAGGTTGCTAAGCACTCAAGAAGCTAGAGTCGCTCTCGGCTATCGCCTCGAGTGACTCTTACGCTTCTTTCGTGCTTAGCAAACCTCCCAAGTGCATCCATAACTCAATAGTGTACGCTGTGGTGTTTACCATTTGTTTTAA